CCTGATGCATAATTCTTTGGGGTACGGCAGTGACCCTTAAAAAGTGTCGAAGACTCCTTTTATATCATTGGCATTATGCTCTATTCTTAAACATTAATTTGCATTTTACTTTTATCATACTTTTCTTAAAATAAGTGTCCGCGTGGCATAGGTAATTGGAAAGCACGTCTTGCTAGCATCGGGAAAACATGGAGTTTGAATCTCACCGAGGGCATCTCTGATTTTCCATGTTACTTGCTTCGAAATAAGCATAATGACTCTGCAAGTAGCGCCCGAACTAAAAATGTGTTTTTAAGGAATTTTCTGCTTCCATCCCAGTCGCTCTTTAAGTGGGAAAGAATTTAAGGAATTTTATGCTTTCGTGATTTAATTGAAAAGCATATCCCGCTAGCATCGGAAGGTCAGGAGCTCGAATACCAGCCAGGACCTCACTAATTTTTCATGTTCTGTGCTCCGAAGTGCTACCTTCTCTACAAAATTAACCAACGAAACTAATTTAGTTTTAAAAATTACTCGCAGACCTCTGGCTATCAACTGATGAGTTCTCAGAGATCCACGGACTAGGTTCAAAAACCAGGACTAAAGTTTAAAAACCGCTGATTTATTGTAAATTTCGGGAAAATTAATTGAAACGTAAGCTAATATTGCATTGTGTTTGCTACTTTATAGCTACATAAAATAATAAATATTAGAACTATAATATAATAATTATATAATATATATTATTTTTTTCAGCTAAAATTTTAGCAATGCAGACAGATAAGCTCCAAATTTCAGCTATTTCGTTGAAAGAAATCTTAATTTCTGCAAAACAGCGTCGTTTATTAGTTCAGAGTTAGACACGTACACAATTAGATTAGAGACAATTCAGAGTTATTTTGATACTGTACGATCTAAACGTCAGTTTTCATTAGGAAGTCCCTTACGAATACATCCATCCCTTATAAATAGATAGATGCTAGATGTGATAATGTTTACCATAAATAATCAAAGTAATCGTATTTGACTGAGCTGATGCTTGCTTGTAATTAAATAATTATCAAACAATAACTGATAAAAGTTTTTTTTTAGCTTGCTATTCACGTCTGTTTTTTATGACTGACCTTTTTTTAATGCTGCATTAATTAACGTGCTGGCAATGGGTGTTATAGTTGTAAAATATAAAGTTTTTGGACACCTACTGTTATTTATTTCTGCAGTTTCTAATGCTTTATCTTTATTTGCATAATGCAGATATGCGTCCGTAGTTAAAACTTATTTTAAATAGACTCTGTCTTTATAAAAATTGTTAGATTTTTTTTTTTTTAGTCATGCAAATATATTTGTTATCCTTTATGTATGAAAATGAAACATTACATAGAGTAGATTATTGCGAAGCGCGTGTTTGAATCTTAGTGTGAGTAGTAATTATTCTGTAGAGACATTAGGTATTTTTTGAAAATAAGAAAAATGAGCAATGCCCGCGCCGCGACTCGAACCACAGACCTCTCGAATCCGCATGCTGACCACTACACACCACGAAGGCATACGAAGAAGGCGGGAGAAATACTTTGTAATTCAAAAGATTGTATATATAAATAGAGGGTTAGAATTTCTTGTAAAGATTATATTTCTTTAGAATTAAATTAACTGTAAATAATATGCATTAAATAAATTAAGTAATTAATATATTTACAGTCTGTTCTGGTTAATTAAACAAATTAACTGCACAACTGTTAAGTTGTTCACTTGTTGATTTGAAGTTTGCTTCTCCTTGAGAACAAGCTGTTCGTCTCATTTTATTTAATCTTCTGCGACCTCAAGATCGGACAAAATTCAATTCAATTTACTTCAAGTAAAATGTTATATGTATTTCAAAAGACAGGTCTGACGTGAGCGTCTCTTCTAAGAAAGCAACTGCATAAAATACTTAAAATTGACGACAAACACAGTGTGAATTTTGTCTATTTTTTAAAGCACATATTGGCATGTAGACTGATTTGACGCGGGTGTCTCTTGCAAGTGAGCAATTGTATAAAATACTTAAAATCAACGCCGAACCAAGGGCGAATTTTATCTATTTTCAAAGCCCATATTAACATTTTTTTTTTAAAATCTGTTCTTCTGCTGCGCTTATTTAAACTTTTGTTTATGCGTACGTATATGAAGACTTATGTCTGAATTATTCCAGTTTTGTAATAAGCTGGTTAAAATTCGGAGCACTGCATTAGATCTGCATTCGGCTTTCAGTTACTAGGAGTTGCTCAGGGTTTCCTCTCATATTCTGCCTCTCTTTTGTTTAATATTTGCTGTAAATTTATTTTATGTCTTTTCCTCATAACAGTATAGTTATTTTATGAGGTCGCACGGTAATTTCTTTTTCATTTTTTTAATGTTTGTAATATTCTTTCACATTTACAAAAAAAAAAAAAAAAAAAAAAAGTTTCTAAAGTCTCTTTGAAAAGATTTATCACCACACTACATCCCTAAAATGGCTTTAACTGTGCACATATACTGAAATATATTGAATATGTGAAATTAGTTTGTTCATCTCTCCTTAAGTTAAGGACTTGCAGCCTGGTGGTTACTTCATCTAGCTGTGGGAATCATCGGCCACGAGAATAATTATAATACATGAAAACAAACAAACAAAAAACCTAAATTAAAACTAGAAGTGTGGGCTCCACTTGACCGACGGGGGGGTCGACTGGAGACCCCCCCCGTTTTGATACCACTTGTAGCATGAATGGCACCCAGGAGATCGCAGAAAGTTTTAATGCGGTGCCTGTTCAGTAAGAACGTTTAGAAGGGTTCTTCATGCCGTTGGTAATGCTGTTCAGCAGTTCTTAAGATGAAATAAATTTTAGTTTTAAACATTGTTCTGGGATATTTAGTTCTGGGATATTTAGTTATTGAAGTTTTATGCTTTACAACTCGGTGGCCGGCCAAGGGCGTTATATACATGTTCACTGAGGTTAATGAAAAGACTGTTAATCCAGATGAGTTATGTTATTTTTGAATACTAAGCATCGACTAAACAAAGCATAACCTATGAAGATGTGCATTGTTGTCCATTAAATGGAATCCAGTAAAAGGTTTTCAAATCGTCTAAAAAGCTTCACATACTGATGCAGATAACATCCTACATAAATTTCAGTAGTTACAGTGCGGTTGTGAAACATATGTAGAGGGGTACGAGACTCTAACATGATATCACTTTAAAAAAGAACTCCTGCCATTTTTTTCTATTTTAACAAAGTTAAAGAGCGCCGTCGGATTTACCAGCTGTACACCCGGGGAGAATCTCTTTAAGTTAAAACAGGGCACGACAGTGAAAAATATATTGCTGCATTGTTATAGGCTTTAAGCAAGATGTTTCGTATGCCATGGCCTACAGATGTACATGTTCCGTATAGCTAATGAAAATCAAGAACTTGCCACCTTAGGTACAGGCTGGTTTCAAGTTGCAAGCGATAAACTGTTTGATTAGATAAAATAAAACCTGATACTGTTGATATTTGTAAGCAGTGCAATCGCTATGATGGTTTCGTGTCGCCGAATGCTCATGACTACATTCCTGTCTTACTGTGACTCACGGAAGACATCGATCATACTGTCCCTAAGCATATCTGTAGTTTAGAACCGATATATGTTGCATAGGGGAATATTGACTTCAAAAACACTTATATCTGAATATGGGTGATCTGTATTAATTCAGTTATCCTACAAGATGTAATGTAATGTCCTACAAGGTATAATGTAAAGGTGTAATTGTGTCCTATTTTGTTGTCTAATAATCGCCTTATTGCGGGAAAAGCAATGTAAGCACTTTTATAAGCAAAACGCTAATGGGTTTTCCAAGTCCACACTGTATGATCTGATTGAAATCTACCATTAAAAATTTTTAATTACCATTAACCTAGCAGAAGCTTTCATTATTCCTGTAAGAGAGGATAGGTAACAATGCTATTCGCTTTCTGTTTCAATAAAATTGTGTCACATATCTATCCTGGCGAATTCCTTAAATTATGCTGATGTGAAAGGTATTTTCATCCTCTTTGAATGTTGTCTTCATGGTGTAACTGGAAAGCACATCTGATTGGCAGTCGGAAAGTCCCGGATTTTGAGTTCCGGCGAGGGCACTGAGCGTTTCTTCAGTTTCTTGGCGTCGAAAACTTCTAAATGACTCTAGCAGCGCCCGAATTAAAAAGGTGGTGGACGATAATTCGTCACCACCAGGATTTGGTCTCCTTTTCGCCAGTCGTCCTTTAAGTGGGGGAAAATGTAAGGTATTTCCTCCCTCCTTACCACGTACATTCCTGATATAATACGAAAGGAGGCCCATCTATCAATCAGGAGATCCGGAGTTCGAATTCCGGCGAGGGCATTGCGCACTTTTCATGTCTTCTGCTTCCAAGTAGGATGCCTAATGTCTCTACAAGTGTGATATAAGTACATGCATAGCTCCATCATATTTGTTCAGTCTTAACAATTATATCATTTTATTGTAACAAAATTAATAGTAAGTAGTACGAAAGGCGCCTTTCTTGTTTATTTGTTGTCTTTGATGCTACATATTAATGTTGTTTTAAAACTTCTTGGATTAATTCGCTGTTGACAAGCAGAAGTTTTTATTTTAGTGGTAGTTACTATCTTAATCATTTAATGCAACCAATAAGTTAATTAATCCGTTTTTTCCAATCAGTTTTCAAACAATTGGAAAAGTATTTATAAAAGACTCTTATAATTTCTTATGCTTGAACATTCGGCTGAGATCTGGACTTTAAGAGAGTGGAATTTCTTGTGTGCAGTTCGATGGTAAATGTCAAATGCGTGTTTAAATTACTAAATTTTTATTTATATGTTACAAAATGTTTTATCAGAGCATGAATATCTACTACTAGTATATCTTTAAAAAATATCCGGTACTGTCTCTTTGAGTTTTAAGTAGAAACTTAAATGTTTTTTTTATCTTTATTTGTGGCTGCTATTTATAAGCATATTTTTTTAACTAATTTCAGGGTACTTTACAGCATTCTGGCATCACACATTTGCAAAGCTGGGGGAAGACTGGGTATTCCTTGCTGTTTTAGGAATTCTGACGTCATTACTAAGTTTTGGAATGGATTATGCAATTGCCGTATGCTTGAGAAGTATGTTCCTGTAATATATGACTTTAGCTTTCTGCTTTCGACTACATTAATAAATCATTTTTTTTTTCAAATTTTAATCTGTATCATACGGAAAGTATCATGCTAGCAGTTTTGGGTAATTTGCTCGTAATTACAATTCGGTTAGAGTTATTTAAATATATTAGTTTTCTTTCATGCTTCTTTTGCATTTTAATTTTCTACCTAAGAACAAAACTGATATTTCATGTATTTATGCACATAATTCTCTGTTTTATACATATGATACCCATATTTATATGCATAATTCTCTGCTTTATGCATACAATACACAATTCCCTGCATGTCTAGCTTGGTATAATTTGAGAAATTCAAGAAGAGAAATACCTTTTCTCGTGGATTATAAGTGTATTTAGTTTTCTTTGATATTATTTTGTTTAAATGTTCTAAAAGCTTTCTCTTTTGCACTTCACTTTGTTCAACAATGTAATTTGAGTTGTTAATATATAACTGAAGCAGTTTCAGTAACTAAACTTTCACAGAGTAAAACAGATGCCACAATGAAATTGATGTAGCAAGGGAAGGGGTAATGTAAAGTTTCTTTAACATGACACCAGGTTTCAAGCATTTGATTAGGTCACCATACGTAGCTCGATAAATATGCACACACTTATCCAGTTCATGCTGTTCTGTGTTCATCTACTGTGATCATAGCAACAGTCTTCTCTAATTTTGCCTTTTAATGTTGTGTGGCAAAGATATGATATTCAAGACAAATGCATGGTGACTTAAACTGATTGATTAGTTCAAAAAATTTTTAAATAAAACATATTTTTTGGAAATTCGATTACATCATTTTTTAACCGTTAGAAATATGGTAATTTTGCAAGGTAACTAATAAAATCTCTCAATTTAAAGATATGCCTGTCACTAAAAATACTCCTTTATTATAAGGTACTATTTTCTGCCCAAAATATGAGAAATCATAGTTTTATAGATTTGTGCCAAAATTATAAAGCTTTTGATGACAAAATGAATATTGAAACGCACGTTAGGAATAAGGAAAAGGGAGCAACGCGTGAAAAAAAAAGGTCACCATTTTATGTAACTCAAGATGCAAGACATTTTTTAACTGAAACAAAATATTTTGAAATTATTCTGGACTTGAGTCCCTCAACGTATTAATTTCGGAATTAAAATATTGATATGATTAATTTAATATTAAGTTGTAATAAAGACGTAAATCTTACTGACATTTCTTAACGCATTTTGAATCTGAAACAACATATGGCTGTCTGTAAGGCTCACAGTAACATATGGCCGGCACATAACATAAGTCTCTTTGTCGGACACCTTGCTAAAAATTTCCAAGAAATGCTCGGGAAAGTTAAATGTACCACGTCCTGGCAATAAAAACTGTGAAGGTGTGAGCGGGCGAGGTTCACCCAGCTCGTTGCTCTCGCATATTAAAGGTCTTTTATTTAACACACACTCGAGTTCAGTTAATATTGTAGAAAGCTCTTCGAAAGTCAGTAATGCTCTCCCTAAGATTTTCTTCAGAGGTTCCTTGATGCTTCTCATCAGAACCTTCCCACCCTTCCCACCATGGGGAACGCTCAGGTATGAATTTCCATGTTATCTCTGGATGTCAAGAAATCTTGGCTCTGCTCTGATTCTTTTAAATCCTTTAATTATTTCACATGTGCTGCAGAAATTCTTGGCATTATCTGAATAAATCACTTTGCAGCTCCCTCTTCTTGCTAAAAAACGTCGTAATGAAAAAATGAAACTTTTTGCTGACATATCTGAAATCACTTCAATGTGTACAGCACGAGTGACGGCGCATGTAAATGAGACTATGTACACCATTTGTGGATATCCGCTTTTTCTCTAATAGTAACCGCTCCCGTTAAGTCGATGCCTACAACTGTGAAAGGATTACTTTGGACTACACGATCTCTTGGTAACTGACCCGTTAACTGTTTGGTGGGCTTCACTGCGAACTTTTACACACCAGGCAAGCGTTAACCCTTCGCGCCGACTGTCACGTATACGTGCCAGCAACGAACACACTTATCTACCGGCCGACACGCAGGCATGCCAGAGCATTGTTGCGTTTACTACCGAATGTCACGTATTTGTGCCAGTACCTTGGAACGTTTTTCAAACTATAATTTCTGCCACAAGATGGCACTGTATGTCCATATGGTTTCAGATACATGTACATTAGGCCTTCTACTCGAAATGAGAGAAGCATGACTCACATACACGTGTTTTTGATTATATAAACAAACGAGGAACTAAATGTTTCCGAATGGCGTTATTTATGACGTCTCTTTAAATCGCACTTTATTCGCACGTGGTAGTTGTTTATTGTAAGTAGAAGTTTTATATGCGCTAAAATGTTGAGTATTTCGGTTTACCGTTCAGTTTTTAGAAAATAATTAGATCTTGTTAGACGTGAATTCTTTCTGTTTTTACCGTTTCAATGACGAAGCGTCGAAAATGTTTAACAGAGCATGAAATAGCAGAAATGATGCAAAATATTTCAGATATTGATTCTGAAATTCTGATATTCTGATATTGATTCTGAAAGATTAACTGAAAGACATTTTCCAAAACTTTGTTCAGAAGAGACTGATAAAAAAATGGGACGACGATGCTTCGTTTGTTCACATTCCCGGAAAAATCCTCCAAAACGGCAAATGAGTTATTACGAGTTCAAGGAATGTAACGTAGGACTGTGTGTAGATCCCTGTTTTCAAATTTTTCATACGAAAAGAGAATTTTTAGTAATATATTTAGTTTTCAGATGTATAATGTTAAAAGTCATAAAATGGTGAGTAATTAAAATTAAAATGTGTAAATATGCATTTAAACAAGAAATAAGGTAATTAAAGTATATATATATATATAAATATTTATAAAGCATAAGCCGTTTAAATACTGTATAAAGCATTATTAAACAATGCGTTGATACTTCGGAGATTTCATGGATTTAGGCTTAGTAGCAAAAAAGTCCCCGGCCCTGGAGAGACGCTCGCGGAAGACACTGCCGGCCTCCGCGATAAGCGCGCCTTTTCGCTACCCGGCTCGAAGGGGTTTGCGAACTTTTTACACACAAGGCAAGCGTTAATAACTTTCTTTACTACTTGTCTTCCTTTAGGTATCCAAAATTTATTCCTGACTTTGGACAACGTTGCCATAACTCCTGAATGGAATACTTTTATGTGTTCACTAAATATCACTAGTTAGGTGAACTTCGTTTTCGGCAGAATAATGGGATGTTTTTCGCCATCTATTAATTCTGCTTGTTTCAAACGACCTCTGACACGCAAAATACCTCTATTGTCCAGATATGGTGCTAAACTGTAAAGCTTAGAATTTGGTGTTATTAGATTACTCCTCTCTAGTTGTTAAATATCCGAAAAATAATTCTCTCTCTGGACTTGTTTTATCCAGTGATCTCCAATACAGTAAGAAGACCTTCTTCACAGGTACGTTTTCTTAGCTTGGCGACAAACCGATTTACCCAAGCTGTAACTCTCAATAACTTTTCCAGACTGCTGAATTTGATAATGCTTAACGTAGTTTCTCCTTCTGGAACCGTCACCTGAACGTAAGTGCTTAAACATTCCAAATTTTGAGTATCAGTTTCTACTTTAAACTTCTGCTCAGGCCATAGATATTCAGAATCTTTCAACCATGATGGACCATGCCACCAATTATTATCTTTCACTAATGCATTTGCTGTTTCACCACGAGTTAATTTATCTGCTGGGTTTTCCGACCCTGGACAATATTTCCACTTATCAGGCGAATTACACTCTTGTATTTCTGAAACTCTATTCAACACAAACTGCTTCCACTCACGCGCTGACCCCTTTATCCACCACAAGCAAATTTCTGAGTCCGTCCACAGAACTAGCCTACCTACCAAATCCTGGAAACATTTTCAATAAATATTTCCCTATCCTAGCTGCAACTACAGCTCCCATCAATTCCAACCTAGGGAGGGACAACTTTTTTAACGGAGCTATCCTACTCTTCGACATTATAAACGAGGTACATACTTCTCCTCTCTTATTCTTATATCTAAAATATGCCACCGCTCCATATGCCACTACTGACGCATCACTGAAAATGTGAATTTCAACCGAATGACCTTTGGAAAGTAGTACCTCTCTAATTCCTCTTTCGCAACTGCTGCAATTAAATACCATTCGCACTTGAATGTTTTTTTTATCTTTACGTACCACTGCTCGGAATGGCATAAATTATCCCTCTCTCGCCTCTCTCGTATCCTCACACTCATGAATCATGTTGTTTTGTGTCTGAAATTTAATTATTTCCATAAACTGTTCCCTCACAAAGCTGTTACTTTTTAACTCTCGCCATACCCTTTCGAACTGCCTTTTCGCTAACCCAAAATTATTTTCCAAGTGCTCTGGACTCCTATCCCACAACAAGCGAGCCTCATACCTCCCGTCTACATATTTCAAATCCTCTTCAAATGGTTTAATTATTCGCTTATCGGCAGCGCTCCTTTCCGACGCGCACTCAGAAATTCCTAGACTTCCCATCTCCCAAGCTGATGAATCTATCCTGATATTTTTCTATCTCCCAAAGCTGACGAATCTGTTCTGATATTTTTAATTCCTCTTCCGAATCGATGTGTATAAACGAACCGGTGGAGTCTGACCCTGAACTGCGCTTCTTACTCTCTCCCCCCAGTCTACCACTCAACGTCCAAACGAATATGCGTGCAATTCTAAATAGTCTGTTTAACGATGCGTTTTCCCCGTTAAAATGCAGTTCAAATAATCATTCCCAATTAAAATTTGTACCTCTGCCACTTCACTATCGCAGCTGTCGGATAAGTCAAATCCTTCTTGGCGAAGCTTGTTCATAATTTTTTGCAGATGGCCTGGGTAATACATTGGAACGGGCCTGGGTAATGCGGTTTTTACTTCAAGTGCTTCGATGATTAGAGTGAACCCGATCTTATTTTTTAAAGAAAGTCTTTTCATTTTAAACTCTCGTACTGGCGGATTCGAAGATGCAAATGTATGAATTCTTAATCTTTCTCTACTAATAGTTCGTAAACTTGCTTCCTAGAAATAGACTGACAAACATAAGATCTTTCGGAAGCAGAATCACTTAACAACCTAACATTAAATGTGGAATTATTTCCGAGTAGTTGGCCCCTCAATGTTTGATAATAAATCACGTCATTAGGAATTTGCTTGCTCAGTGTTTCGAGGAATAGTGAATTAACATTTGTCTCTTTTGGTATGCTCGCAGCATTTTTTATAAATTTATTTTCTTGCACATTTGCGTCACACAGGCTCTCTAAATGCGACATAAATTTGCAGATATTACATTTAACCCACTTCGCCTTACAAAACGGTTTTTTGTGACCTTCTTTTAAACAGCGCTTTGCGCTTAAATAGATTGTATAACGCTTTGTGTTTCTCTGAAATACTTAAGTCGCAGTCTTTCGAGAGGTAAGATTTAAGACAAAAGTCGCACATATACCTTTCGACAGATGTATTAAGCGTCGCCGCTGATACCATTTTCTTTTTAATTGGAGCAACACTCTTACGATAGTTGTCGGTATTTCTTTCGCTTGATTTCGAAAGTGTTTGTTGATTAAAACCCAGAGTTAATGACTTTTCGCAGGCTTCTACTTCTCTCTTTAGAAACAACAATAAATCTGACCGACCTTTTGCTCCGTACTAAACTGTAACCCTAAATCTTGCGGTATATACTTATATAAAATAGGAAATAATAGATTGACATAAGAATTAAAATTAATATCTAATGTCTCTAAACTTCTTGTTTAAACCGTTATTTAATCACATAGATTTCTTAAACTGGATACATCACTTGAACGACGTACTGGCTCCAAAGCTAGGAGAACGTTCATATGCGCGCTAACTAATATTTCTTTTTTCCCAAATTTTTCAGTTAAGATTTCGATGGCCTTTATATAGTTTTCTCCTATTAATGGCAATCCGCTTATAGCTTTTGCAGCTGAACCAGTGAGTAAAGATCTTAAATAGTTAAATTTCTCAACATCTTGAAGCGTATTGTTTTCGTGAATGGCAGCTTTATACTGAGCCCAAAATTCAGTAAATTTACATAAATCGCCGCTGAAAGTTTCTAAAGAAATGCGAGGTAATTTAGTATTATAATTAGTTTTGATTTCCGAAACTTGTGAAGTTGTTCCGGTTTTACCGACATTTTGAATATATCTATTGACTTTCGATTTACATCTAATGATTGATTCGCTGTATTCTAAACAATGTTCTACTTCTGTCTCTCATTCTTGGATAGTTCTTTGAGCATTAATAACTTCATCGTATTTTAACAAGCTAGTTTCTCTCTCGATTAACACTGAAAGCGATTCCTGCACACTTCTAGGTTCGGATTCTCGCTTTGCAATTCCTCTTCCAATTTCCTTAATAATTTTGTTACACTGGTATGAACCGAACCTCTAATTTTTCTCTTTCTCTCGATAGTTTCTTCAAAACTCATTTTCAAAGATAAATTGCATGCAGATAAAAGTGAAATGACTCATTTTCTGGCCTGATGCTACCAAAAAACTTGCTGTATGTAATAACTTACTCAATATTCCATACGCGGCATCGGTGGATCTTGATATGTTATGATATCAAATAAAGACACTTTCCTTTAACTAAATCTATTTATGAAGAGAAGACTATGCACAAGTATTGTATATAGATTACAGGATATCTAGTTTATACCACTCTCAACCTTTTAACTCTCTCTGGTGAAAACTTTTAATTAGCTACACATACGGACGGCGCAGCGCCCTCTATCTCTTTTTCTACAATTGCTAATACGATTTTTGTTAAATAATAATTAATACTTCGATTAAATAATGTGAGTAATAGAAAAGTGTTGACTTTACGCGAGAATCATAAGTGTAGTTTGCTAAAAGTATGATGCGGGAGGCGAAAGTTAAACCGATAATGAATTAATGGATGACTTCAGAGGTTAGGTTAGGTTATTTAATTACGGCAAAACCTCGAGGTTGTGGAGGACTTTCTAAGGGAAACTGGCTCGTATCCACGTTACACATGATGACTTCAGAGGAATAAAAAAGGTTATTTTAGTCGTTAACATTACTGTGTATGTTTAAGCTGTAAATGTTTTCTTCCTTTACTGTAGAAAAAGTTTCATGAACGTAAATTTTGTGTTTATCAGATGGCAATGTGCTTTAATCTGGTGATAAGATAAGTGTTTCCTTTTCGGACAAAACGATCAGCAAGATGACACTTCTTATCTAAAATCGATAATGACTTTAAGAAATAAAAAAACGTTTGAGCATGCTTGCTAAACATTTAAAATTTGTCAATAGTGTGAAAATTTTAGTATTCGTATGAATGAGCTTTGAAAAAACGCTGTAAAACAGTTTAATGGTATCAGTGTTTGCCTAAAAATAATTGCACAGAATCCTCTCCTCCTTGTATTTGGTACAAAGATTCATGATGAGATAGTAAGAAAATCTAGTCCTGAACCGCTCGGCCGCTGGTGGGCAAAGAATGTTGGTCGCCGAGAGGATAAATGCAGAGAATCCTGGTAGCTGGCCTTGGTTTCGATAGTTGCGTGTTTGAGGTCTTCAGTATGTTTGAATAATTCCTACTTCGCATAGGAAGTCCTTCATGAAAGCCGATAGATTTGAAGTCCACTATCGTTATTAATTATCCAGTTGGTCAATGAAAAGAATTAAAAATAATGCAAAGTTTAAAATGATATGTTAAATTAAAATTCACATGATAAAAATTATGGAGCAAGTGCGAAAGGAAGTAGTAATTAATGAATTAACAGGCCCTTGTAAATAGAAGTGCTCTTGAAGGGGAAAAAAAAAAAGATGATTTAAAAGGAAGATACGTTAAAAATTAGAATTTCTGAAAATTTCTCTGTTAAAGGCATCCTATTGTGACAGGAAAGGAACTAATACTTGCGGAGAAAAGTGAAACGAGACTTACAAACTTATCAGGTTTAAGAAACAAATATTACATGAGTCATATGAACAAATAAACGAACAATAAAGAAACTGAAATTCGAAGGGCATTACAAATTAAACTGGAAATGACATTAAAAGCTAAATGAAATTAGCAGTAATAATACGAAATTATACAAAAAAAAAAAAAATAAAAAAAAATAAAAAATAAAAATAAAAATAAATATAAATAAATAAATTAAAATAAAAATTAATACAAGGAAAATTTTGAAGTTAAATAAGAGAAAGACAAGACAATAAAAATCTGGAATGTAGTAAGGAAATGGGATTTAAAATAACAGCATGATATTTTAAAGAAAAAGAATTCAAATTCAAACACTTCAGAGACTTTCACAATGCGTATGCAATTCTAAGTTACTAAGGCAATTAGAAATTAACAAAGTGAGAGGTGTAAAAATGCATGAAAAAAATAAAGCTTCTGAAATTAAGTTTGGTAATCGAGTAAGGTAAAAGAAATTGATTTAAGAAAATACGATTGAAATCAGAATTACGGTCAAAAAGTATTAATGAGAGTTTTAAAACGTTTGTTTTGCAGTGTCTTAATTCCTCTTACATCATCTCGTAATCAATGATTATTTCGTTGTATATTTCCCATTTTCCATGCTTTGTCAGACGGCTGACTTCACTCCTGCCGGTACAGCCTTATTGGGCATGTGCACTTCCTCGAATAGAACGCCTTTTTCACTATATATGTTTCAGCTCTTGAAATATTTTTTTTTAACCATTTGCTTTTTCTTTGCAGCTCGCATTTGGTTATACCGTGATTTAGCTAAGCATCCTGTTTTACAGTATTTGGCTTGGATAGCATTCCCTTTGACGCTAATTCTATTTTCATCTGGTTTTGTACATATGATTGCGCCACAAGCAATAGGTATAATCAGTTTTCCTTTTTCATAAACAATTTTTTCGTACTTATTTGCTTATATGTTTTCGTATAGTATGATAATATCCTGAATTTCATTAGTCGAGCTCTTTATTTAGAGCAGTTTCCATTTTTGACTAAAATTACTTAAAATTTCTGGTAAAAATAGATTAATGTAATTTGACTTGTTATTATATACTACAAAGTAAAAAGCTAAGCTGCTACAAAATAAATAAATAAAATAATAATGATTATAGTAATAATAATAATAAATAAAAAATAAAAGTAATATTTTTTTCTAGTTGCCTGTTAATAATATCTAAAGTTCACTGCATTAAACCTTCTAATACAAGTCTTCATATAGCTGTAATCTAGAAAATTCCTGAAGTGTGAATATGGTAATTCAATATCGGATTCTTGGTTGGAATCTATTAATTTAATTTCTGAAGCTGTTATGCTGTGGACTATTTTACCGCTGAATTGGTTGACATTGTCGAATTTCAGGTATGTTTAAAGTTTAGAGAATGTGAACATATTAATCAACTTTTAGCGCACATATTAATCAACTTTTAGCAAACTATATAAATTTATTAAAAACTGATTCATGGATGATCATAACATGTAAAAGCTGCTTAAAAATATCTCAGCTTTGGACATTCATCTTAAATCTTTATCTTGTAAAGGAGTAGCATTAAAGTAAAAATAGTAGCAACTTGTAGTCATAAAAGGTACAGTCAAGCATCTCGATTGTGACCACCTTCAATAGACAACAGTCTATGAAAGTGGCCAGTATTGTTGAGAATATGGTAAAACATGAGTATTTTCTCAAAGGCGTCTTTTTTTGTAAAGATCAAAATCGTATGGAACTGCGGGCGTTCGTTTTAGGGAGGTTTAACTGTATTTGAATAAGCAGACTTATCAAGGCCAGCAAGTGTTAAATTGTGAATTGCATGTAAGATCTGAGTTAAAAGAATGTATACTATTAATTAGCTTTTAATGAATTATATATACTAATTCATGGCAGACTATAATATAAAAAAGCTGATTATAAAATCTCAGTTGTGGAAATTCATCCGAAATCTGAATCAAGTAAAGCTGCACAGAATGATCGCATTCCCCGATGCGTGCTTTTATGGTATAAGTCAGCGGTTCTCAACCTTTTGGCTTACGCTTACCATCTAAACAAAAATTAAAAACCTTTAGTGCCACTACAAAGTACTACTATCACCACCACTCTTGGACAAAGCTCAGATCGCATAAATTTACGAGTATTAGAGAATAAACTCAATCAGGATGTTGGGGTTTTAATTTTTGAATTTAATAGTTGAAAATACTTTGCTTCTTTGCGTACCACCTGTTTTTCTCTTGCGTACCACCGGTTGAGAACCCCTAGTATAAGTAGTTGTTACTTCCTGCTAACTGGAAGTGGCTCAAATATCTTTATAGTAAATGTAGCAACCAAACTTAATTGTAAAATGTAAAGTGAAACGTTTCATGACGACTACTTCTTATCGACGACGATTTTAAAAAGTGACAAATATTTCGGAGAGTGTTAGTAAATGTAGTTGTTAATTACTATTTATCTATGGCGATTATTTTCAAAGAAGTCCAAAATTGTGTGGAACGATGGATGGCCGTCTTAGGAAAGTTTCAGTATATTTAGACAAGTGCACTTATCACAGCTGAGTATAAAAGCTAAGTGAAATCTTTCGCTCTGTTATGGGATCGTAACGTTTTGAGTGAGTATTCTGTTGTTATTTCAACAGCACTAAGCTCATAGGCACCAACGGCGCAACATACGTTAGCGAACCATTAAAGTTGACAATGGCACACTGAACAGTTGTCCTCAAACGTTGTACGACTATTGTGATAATGCTGCATAGCCTGTCACTGTCATAGAGATCAGGTGTCCTATTCATCCTATGCTGATGTAAAATTTCGTGGTTCACTGCTAGGTTTGCGACTTGACTTGGTTCTCTTAAGCACATTGCTTCCACACACTCAGCACTGATGAGACATTATACCCCATACGAAACTGCGATTTCACGAGAGGAAAATTTTCCTTTTCGCAGACCAGTTCCTCTCCCCTTTTTTCAAACGGCTTTAACTTTTGTATTGAACCGTTTATCGTCAACAAGGCATCGTGACTAGTCATGAAACGTTTTCCGCTGGTAGATAACGAAACACTACTTTTAACGTTCTGGTAAAACATTCAATGTATACGGCTAACGCGGCAACTCCATAGAGAGCAGCTGAGCCCTTGTATGCACTATCACCCTAAAATTCTAATTATTTGCATATCATAGGCTGCTTTGGATTTCTTATAAGTTTCAATTTATTCGCATGATTCCTTTAAAATGTTTTAATCTTCGCAAGCAGGAGTGTAGTTCTGTTGTAAACGTTTTTGGCAGTTACTTTATGGTATCACATGCATGAATGTTTCCTAATGTACAATAATGCTAATAGTAGCTCCATCAAATCATTATGCAGGCTTTTTAGTATTTAATCCAGTTCTAGTTAGAAGAAGTTTGCCTTAAAATCCTCTCAGTCTTAATACATTTATCATATAATTTTTTAAATATATTTTCTTTTTTACGCTTTTAGGTTCAGGCATTCCTGAAATGAAAACTATTTTAAGGGGTGTGGTTCTGAAGGAGTACCTCACCTTCAGGACTTTAATTTCAAAAGTCGTAGGCTTAACATGTTCATTAGGAAGTGGTTTACCTATTGGCAAAGAGGTAGGATTGCCGTCTAAGTCTTTTATATTTGTTATATCTATTGAAAGATTTTTATTACCTAGTTAGTTTGAAATATCTTAATTTAACTATATACAGTGTACTTACTCTCTATTATCCGGGCAAGTGCTGGCGAGTAGGTCACGGATAATTGAAAAACATGGATAATCCTAATTATACAATTTTCATGTATATTGAATGCATTTATTGCTTAAAAAATCAGCAATTTTACTTTGCTTTTAAGAACATTTAAATATTTGTCGAATTTCTCCGCGTATTTTCCGATTTGCTATTTTATCGTTGTATTCGAATTGACAAGTCCAACAGAGTTTCAACAAAAGTCATTGTTGTCTCTCGTGAGGAATGTAATTTTCAATATCGCTGTCTGACTGCTTTGCTTTTTGTGACATTTGAAACGATATCCGCATCCTCAAGCACTGAAAAGGCGGCTCAGTCAAATCACCATATAAACGTTCCTCGATGTTTTCTCGATCGACATTTTCGAAGAATTTCACATTTTCACTTCCTCACAATTAGATAAATCCGCAAATGCAAAAAGAATTGTACTAGGTAATCATTGAAACTAAACCTAAACACGCATTTCAGCGGTTTTTGGATCATGCACGGATATGTGCGTTTTTTTTTTTTTTTTTTTTTTTTTTTTTTTTTACATATTTTCGCGCATAGCGTTGAATGTGCATGCGTGGGTAACGCCACGCAAGGACAAACCGGATAATCCGCACCTGGATACTCGAGAATACACTGTATTTGTTACTTCTTATTGCTTTTAACTTATTAATACTTTTTTTTTATTTTATGTGCTAGTGAAAACTTTCTTTTACTTACTTAATTTCATATTTGTGTTTCAGGGGCCCTTTGTACATGTTGCAAGTATAGTTGCTACCCTTCTTAGCAAGTTAGTTACTTCTTTCAAAGGAATATATGAAGTTAGTTATTTCTTTCAGAAGAGTTTTAAATGATGATTTAAATTAATGAAAAGTGTACTGAATTATTTAATTTAGGTAGCATATTGATGTACTTTGTAATGATAAACTTATATGACATTTTATTATAATATTGTACAGTATTTGTTTCTGACACGTTTATGAATTACATGTATGTTTGTATCTATCTATTTTATGCGTGTGCTGAACATTCTCGCTGTATGAATATATGAAACCGTGTAATTCTTTCTTCTGTCAATTTATTGTAGAATGAATCCCGAACAAGTGAAATGCTTGCCGCTGCCTGTGCTGTTGGTGTGGCCTGTAGTTTTGCTGCTCCCATTGGAGGTATCGCTGTTCGCATCTTTGGTTACGTGTTATATTTTCAAAATAACGGGTGGTTTCGTATTTCTGAACATTTTAAGCCTACCTATGAAAAAGACTTAATAAATATGTAGAATCAATGAGAGCTTTTGTTCTGTCATAAATTTAATTCCTAGCAAATAAATAGGCTAACTGCACGGAGTTTCTATAGTTTTTCTATGAGAATAACATAACTACAACATAGTTCCCTTTTGAAAATATTCCGTATATCCATTCAAAATCACAGTATTCGTCTAATAGAATTTTTAGCCCAAAAAGACAATTGCCCAGAAGGGCTATTAATTTCATTTTGTCATTTTGCGTTGATTCACTATAAACTGCGAATTATTTTGTAAATTGTTGCCAGCAAATATTAGAGCCCTGTATAAAAGCCTGTGTTTTAAAGAAATTAAATAATGAAGAATCTGTGTAAATGTATGTATGTTTCTCGCATTGTGATAAATAACGAGAGCCATCAAATTTTGAATAACGTACATCTCCGCCCGAATATGGGCATCTGGAAGCCCAAATTTGGAATTTGTTTTATTATCTATTTCACGTTTTGTAAAGGATTTATGAGGTTTGATTAAGAAACTCAACGATTTCAAAGCGAGCAATAGCAACACTGTACGGGGGGGGGGGAAGAATCTCCGGCGCGCGAAACTGTTTATCGGAAATTCTAAAGATGTGCTGTTGAATTGAATTTTATGGTGTAAGTGCAAAGACCATGATATTTAATAAATAAAGGTAACACACAAAACGTTAAAAACGCCTCTCTGGACGTAATATAAAATCTGAAAGCTTTCAGTTTTTTTTTTTTTTTTTCAATGAGTGATTAAATTGAGATATTCAAAAATGTTACATGTTACTAATCAAATGGTTCATTTTTTCCTTTCGATAAGCATTCAAAATACCCATTCTCGAAATGTTACTCTGCACTAATCCCGTTTGACATTAAAAAGAGAGATGATGCGAGTGAAAAATAATGCCTTATTATTGCATAAAAGTAAGCGTTATTGTATGTATGTGGAAACTTAATTTCTGAAACTAATGATGTAATTACACTTACATCATTAGTCAAATCTTATCATTCTTTATGATAATGTCAAATAAATTATTATCATAAGGAAGTAATCAGCTCTTTTATTATTGCCTACAATCTAAAATTGGGTATCCTGTGTAAATAAATAAAATTATAACTTTCAACTTTAGAAGCATAAAACAATGTTAACTCTGTGCGTATTCTTCGATAAGCAGATTTATGAATGATTGGGGAAGGGATGTTTTAAGTGTTGCATTCAATTTGATAAGAAAGACGGGTGGGTAAGATAAACAATGAACTACTGACGGCAAAGGATTTTTGAAAGAATATTGAAAAACTGGTTTTCTGGATTGTCCAGCAGACTCATACACTGTAAAGAAAACAAAAAGTATTACGGTTAAAAAAATTTCTTTTCATGTGGGACAGATTTAAAGGTAAAATTTTTGTGACATATGACTGAGAGAACGTTTTAAACCAAAGAACCTAAGCGCTACTTCCTTACTTTTCCCGCACCGAAACCTGGAAAATCATTGTATAAACGAGAGAATCGTATGAACAAAAAGAGGATAACACATTGGTTACTGTAATACGTGAACGTTTTGTTGCCGAAACACAGTATACTTTTTTCTACAGATCTGCTGCTAATCTCAGTACTGAATACCGTCATTCGCGCTGAAGTATTTTCATCAGCAATTAATAAAACAATTTCATTTATTTATTTATTTGCATGCTTATAACTCTATTTTCTAACTTATACAAGGTAAACATGATTTATTACGCTGGTGACTATCCATAGATTTCAAAGATTCAAGTCTGGGTTATTTCCGCTGTGAATGTCCTGATTCGAGTAATTAAATCAAAATTAAACCTGATTAAATCAAAATTAGATCATGAAAAGGGGGTAACCTTCTAACAGGAAATACACTTATGCCACCCCCTCGAACGAAGGAAAATTGAAACAATTTAGTAAAATTAATAAAACAGTTCAGTCTCTTGATTATTTAATAAATTTCGCAGCATACTGAGCATCTTTAACAATATGTATCATCTCCATTTAAAATTAATTACTCATCTTTTATCTCTTTCTCTCTCTCTCTCTCTATATATATGTATATACATATATAATGATCATTTGCTTTTAGGTGTTCTCTTTAGCATTGAAGTAACGTCAGTGTTTTTTGCTGTGCGAAACTACTGGCGGGGATTCTTCGCTGCTTGCTGTGGAGCTATGGTATATCGACTCCTTGCTGTATGGTTTAAAGATGAAGGTATTGCTCGAATTATTAGTTTAGTAGTTTAGATAAAGAGTTGCTATGACGCCATATTTAATATCATGTTGCTTGTTAAAGTGAGAAAGAATAATGTACATACTGAAAATAAATAAGCGTGTTAGCCTGAACAGATCTTTTTTTTTTATTTTATTTTTTTATTTTGTTTTCCAAATCAAAATCAGTTAAGCAACCACATCCTCGTAATTTCGAAAACTATTCTGGAGTTTCCCCAAGATCTTAAATTAGCATTTATTATGTAGGTCTGTTCTTAACACTTACAAATTATTTGTTATTTCTCACTTCCCGAATGTTTTGTAATATTTTTCACTGGCGCAAGTCATGTGATTATTGTATTTGAATTTCTTTCTTTTTCAGAAACTATTACTGCACTATTCAAGACAAATTTTTCTGTGGATTTTCCATTTGATCCTCAAGAGCTTTTAGCATTTGCTTTGATTGGGTAATTCTTGTATTTAAAATTCATAACTGGAATATTTTTTCTATTACTTTTTAAATGATTATTACTGACATTAGTTGCAAGTAATTAATATTAATAAGTTATTAAATTTTATAGATATATTAATTTTATACTCTTTTAAAAGTATACTAATTTTAATAGCTATTTAATAATTATGTAATTTATATTCATAAGTATATTAATTTTTAATGAGAAATATTTTCTGTTTAATAATTAATCATACTTAAATCTTAGACAAAATATTAGCTTTCATGTATTTTAATTATAAAAATAAAGGGGTATTGTATATAAGGTAGCTCAAAAAGTATTGCAGAAATTTATTGGCATTAGACAAAGCTTAGCATTTTTAAGTAAATCTTACTCTTTTGCAATAAATAAGTAAATAAAATTTAATGCTTGCAGATTTTAGCGTTGCAGATTTTATGACTAAATGTGAAATATCATTCTGAAGACATTGTGGAATTTTTGTGATATTGGTAAAATTATTTTCAAATTAATATAAAAAGGTAATTTCTTATTCTTCATTCCCTCCCCCCCTTTCATGTTATAAGGCTATTCTGATTATTTTCAGTGTACGGTATTTTCTACTTCCATGATATCAGGATATATTGTATTATCCTGTCTCACCTTCAGTTACTCATATACAACAATACGACGCATATGATGTATACAGTATACATGAAGTGATTTCTGAGAAGAGGGAGTCGTGTGCACTCAGGGCCGTCAGCAGATGTATTGTAACTGGTACGACCGCCCTGGGCGGCAAAATTTTTAGAATTTAGGAGAAACCCCTAACAGAAAAATTTAGGGATGGCATCATTTTAGAATTTAGGATCTGCAGAGATTTCACCCGGCGGCAAAATGTCTAGTGCCGGCCCTGTGTGCGGCGAAGTAGAAGAAACAACAGTCTTATGAAAGTCCCATTCAAAGTCCTGAAAATTATTTCCTGATGTTGTGTGAGTTCTGAGTCGCGCTCTGATATTAATGAAATTGACCCACTCGTATTTCAACATACGAAACATTCAGTATGATCCAAATAATGTATCGATCAGTTACATTTCAGCAACGCGCATCTAGGGAAAAAAAAAAAAAAAATTGGAGAGAAAATTGATGGGGAATGAGTTCATCATTATTTCATTTGACGTGACGTTCATCAGTTCTATTGTTCTTAAATCCATTTAGTGCGAATACAAGTGCGCAATTGCTGCATTAGTTAATAATAATTTATTTCCTAAACAATATTGATTAATTGATTATATTATCTCCTAAGTTTAATTAAAGTAGAATTATTTTAAAAGTGTGAATCCATACTGGTAAGTTATATTTTGAAAGATGTTTTGAAGTAATTTGAAAGCAAAATGTTAATAATGTTTTAACGGGGACTGGAGTTAAATCCATCATGAAGAATAAAATTTCAATTGTAAAAGGAAAAATTAAAACATGTAATCATTGTCATTGATCGGAAATTAGTTGACTTTTCAAGGGGAACAAACCAACTCCCGTTCAATGAACAATAATTGATAAAAATACGTAAATACGAAAGTGTTTCGTCTTTACTCGAGTTATAAGTTAAAGCCAAACCGGCAATTCTAGTCAGGCCAAATATTTCCGCGAATAGAAGGAATTATGATTGCTTACTCAAAGAACTTATTCTTATGAAGCATTTTAGTCAATTCAATTTGGAGTAAAAATCAATTACTGTAGAGAAATCTATTAAAAAACTCCGAGTAAACCGTCCCCGACACTTCATGTTTATGCATTTGAGTACTATATTATTTGTAGAAATTAAACATTGGAAATTGTCATTATGAAATCGAATTCAAAGTAAAGTTGAAATAAACATAGAAGATTACAAAAAAGATAAATAATGCAAACTTTGTAAAAACAAATCAAAGACAATATAAAAATAATATAAAATAAAATAGAAAATAATATAAATAAGATCAGTGAATGTACATGAAGATATAAAGGCCAGAAAGGTATTAAGTAACTTACATTCTTTCTAGTGGGGGAGTTGGCAATGTGTTCTCTTCGTGTCTGACTCAGAAGTGTAGGGGTGTCCGAAAATTCTTAGCGGCAGTAGGGGCTTTGAATAATATCAGTCGGTAAGACTTGGGTGAAGTAATTTATGGTAGTGGGTGGGACTTGGAATTCTTGAGGGATGTATTTTGTGGAGTTCTTATCTGAGAGAGACTGTCTGTTAAGATTTTTTTGAAAATACTAGTGAATGGAAATTAATTAATTTCTGGCTAATTGTCGTGTCGCAATGATTAAGAATTTAAGAAAGGAAAAAGGAATTTTCACTGTCCAAGAGCTATAGACAGTCTAAAGGCATGAAATAGGCCCATTTTTTTTTAGTAACAGTATAGTAACAGTATATGTCTGAAGACAATTAGCTTTTTACAATATATACAATTGAGTAATTACACTATATACAAATCTTTCAACTGACAGTCATCCAACTTATACCGCCTTCTCAGGTTTAGGAATAAAATTATCATATCCCTATCAGTTAAATGATTTAGAGTGAGTATTTAACGCCTGCTCTTTTAAGGCAATGGTTGATAAATTGAATGGGAATTAGATTATTTTTGAGAATTTTGATAAGGATCAAAATTTCGCGTTGTAAATCTATTGTATCTGTGCATATAGTTTTAATTCGTTGTATTTGATTAATTATAGTATTGTTAATTACTTTTTTGGATATGTTGGAGTTCCAATTTATTAATTTGTTAGTATTGAAATTGAAGTTTCTTTCTTGTTTTGTCAAAAAGTAAAATTTTTTTGTAGTTAATGATTTGAAGATCTAGAAAGTCTATGCTATTTTGTGAATTATTAGTTTTATTAAGTGTAAGACAATTCGGATAAATCTCGGAGTGTTTCAATTTTACCAAAATTATTAATTGTAATAAGGTCATCAATATATCTGTAGGTGTGTTTGTAGTAATTTAACTCTTGTGGTTGTAGATTTTTTTGGAAGTTAAATTCTTTGACAAATAAAAAGATATTACAGATCGAGGTGCTGGAATGTAAGCCCATTGGCAATCCTCTGACTTGTTTAAAAAGTTGATTTTGAAACTTGATGTAGTTATGAAAAAGTGTGCATTTTAGGTAGGTTTTCCATTTGTCAAGAGTCATGATATTGAGTATATTAGGGAAAAGTTTAGGTAGATCAAGTAGACTGGTATAGATTTCTTCTAGAGGAAGTGAGGTATATAAGTTTTCAAAATCATAGCAGTTAATGTTTTGGATGTTAATGGTTTGAATGGTATTAATGACAGGAGTGTTATTATGAATGATCCAGCAATAGTTATGATTAGTGTTACAATCATTGAAAATAAATTTACAGATTTTATTAAGTTGAATTGAAAAATAATAGTCTACATTTTTCTTGTAATTATTAGTTCCATTAGCTATAAATCTAAATTTTAATGGTGTTTTTATGGAATTTGGGAATCGCATAAAGATTAGTAAATCTGTTGTAGTTTGCATTGAAAGTAATATTGAGTTTCTTATGAAAAGTTTTAATCCTGTTTATTATAGATGTTTCTGTAAGGTTGGCTAATTGATAAGTAGTTGCGTTGAGAAGTTCTTTATGAATAATCTTCAGCGTAGAATTGTTTTCATATAATGCTAAAGTTATTAGTTGCTTTATCTATTTTTGTAATAGTAAAAAGCTGTTTTAATTTATTAATATCTGATGTAAGTTGCGACCAATTCAGTGTACTTTTAAATTTGAGGTGACTGATTTCGGTGGATATGCGTTGAAGAATTTTAGCTTTCCATTTTAAGAAGGTATCTATGGGTAAATTCAGTTGATAGCTTGCTTTAACTATAAATTCGTTGATGTTGTTTTCGAAAGTCTTGTAACAGTAATTTGTAGTCATGTTTCTGACTGGTCTAAATTTTGTACCATAACTCATTAGTGTTTTTAGTTGATGGTTTTGTATGATATTCAGGTTGCCAGTAATTATGTGCTGGTGATGAGAATCTACGTAATTGCTGTAAATTGGTGTCTTACAATGTCATTCTGCAGTTTCATCTATTTCATGGTGGTTAGTAAGCAAGTTGCTTAAGGTCCTTTGATATTTAAATGCAATCATTGGTATTGTGTCAACTGCGGGGAAGTAATCTTTACAATCTCTGATGATTCTTGAGAAATGAATATTGTCAAACTGCGGATGTAGAAAATTGACTTTAAAATAAATTTTGCGTTGAGTGAGACTATTAGAGAGTCTGAAAAGACTAAAATCAAGAATCATGTCTTTAATGATTTGTATGTTGTCGTAGCTTTCTTGAATGAATTTTTTTAGTTTGATACGGAATTTATTAGTACAGGAGTGTAACCAGTTGAGAAGTTTCTTGGGAAAGTAGTGTGTGTCAAAAAAACATTTCAATTTTTTTTTTCAATGCAAGTGTATCCAAAGTGGATAGAAATCTCGCATTATTTTTTATTTTGCTTCCTCTTTTTCCTCTCTGCGTTTTGTTGCTGTAGAGCTTAAATTGGCTGAAAATAGACTTCTTAGAAGTATCTCTATGACTATGTATATAAGTGTTAAGTCCATATGGATAAAGTGAACGTTGTTTTAGTATATAGAGAGATTCCTGAAAAATTCGTGTTTTGTGATTGGGTATTATATCTAGTATCTGAAGTTGAATAGAGTTGAAGTCATGGTGTTTAAAGTGTTCTAATTCTGCTGTATTAAGTTGTGATGGTGTACTTATTTTAATAATTTTTTTTTGTGCGTTGAATTTTTTGATTTGAGCTTTATGGTTATTGATTCGAAAGTTAAGATTGTTTTTAGTCTGTCCTATATATTTAATATGTCAAGTACCGCATGTAATCATGTAAATACAGTTAAATGTTTTTCATAGAAATTGTTTTTTGGGTTTACCTGTAGCAGGCATGGCGTTAAATTTTCAAGTTTGTCATCTAGTGGAATGACATTTAATGATTTCAATATGAGTTAAACTAGCAAGAT